GGATCCAGCTCTTGACTAGGTCCCTGTCCAGTCTCAGGTGGCTTTCCCGCAGTGTAAATATAGTCAGGCTAGGTACAGACATTCAATAAAGCCTGAGGGGGAATAGGTCTAAGTTACGCGGTTTTCTGTAAGAGGTGTAGTTTAGATCAATAGTGAACAGAGCGCACGTTCACCCTTCAGTAGGGGCGCAAATCTTAGACTAGGCTCTGCCATCTTTTAAACCGGTTTTGTGTGCCGAACTTCTGTTCTGTTACAGGTATAGACCAGTTTCCAATCGCTTATACCAGCAAAAGTATAATGTCTGTACCTGCCCTAAGTACTTAGTGGTGCAGCAGCTGTGTGGATCAGATGTTAACCTGTCCGGTGGGAGTACTGTTCCCTCTCCCGAAGTGCCAGAGGTCCCATTTCCATGGCAGGTCATCTCCTTGTCTTTGTAACCTTAATATCCTGACTCCCAAATTGGATGGCCTTTACCTTAGAGAGACCCAAAGTGTGTGCCTGTTTCCAGATCTGATGTCAAGAATTGCCAGGAGGTGTTGTGCATTTGTTTCCTGTTCCTTGAATCAGGGGAAACGCCTTCTCAAACCACTCGGGTCAAAGGCCTGTCCATAGCTCATCGAGCGGGCATGAATAAGCCAAACAAGTATCTTCCCCCAGTAACACACAAGAGAAAGAAAGATGTGATCCGCAGCATCTCCAACCACCCCTGACTCCCCATCTACCCATTTACAGCTGAGTCAACTGGAGATAACCTTTGGTACAATCCCAGGAGTCTCAAATGACTAGGTCTGGATCCATAGCAAGACACTGTAACCCACCTAAGCAGTCTTACGTCACATCGTGCTAAGGACCAGACTGTAAGCTTGCATTCCCTCCTGGCTGGATGGGTTGGCAGATGGGGTGGGAGAAGGAGAACTAAGATTTGGTCCAGTTCTCCTGCCTGTCCACATTCACCCACCTGCAGCCCTGCTGTATCAGCTTGCTCTCTCTTACCCATGCTACTGATATCTGTAGCAAGCCCTGTAGAGGAAGCAAGCTCCTTCGACCCTTTAATCTTCTGCACAAGGGACCCTTAAGAGTCCAATATGAGTAGTGCTGACATTATAAGGGTCACTGTGGTACCCATGAGCCAGCGGCCTTCCTACCAGTGCTAGCATAGATGGGAGAACGATTGTATCTTGACACTCCCTTGCTGGATGAATATATGAGAAAGGGATTGGAAGCAGATGCACCTTGGAAAGGTTCGAGTCTGCCTTCAGATTCTCGAGGTCAAAAGGTTTTCATCCTGACTGTGTTTGAGACACAACAGGGCCAGGTCATGACCTCTGCTACACCCCTCTCAATGCAGAAAACCCAGCAGAGTTGGTCCAGACTTACCCATGCTGGAATGGACATCAGAAGCTGGTTGGCACTGTTTCAAGGGAGGTCCACCCCTATCCTGTAGCATCAACTCCTGGCGTTGAACCATAGCTAATAGAAGGCATGGCGGCCCGCAGCCTTCCAGGGCCGGAGCCTCATGATACATGCCCGCAAAGGGACATCTCGGTCATGTGCATTGACTTTTCAGGAGTAGGTCGGTGCTGGTGAGCAATCGCCCTGTCTTTGAGACAGGAGGACCAGTACAAGCAGGGATGGGCCACGGAGCCAACTCCAGGCTTCAGCATGGGCAGTGACTCTTAAGAACTCGATGCTAGTTGTGCTTTTTCAAGCTAAATTCCCAAGGCAAGTCAAGCGACGTGTTGCCTGACAGGGAAGCTCTGGGAAGTCTAGGGGCATTTTGTGTTTCATAGACAAAGGGATCAGTCCCATGAAATCGGGTTGGAGCTTTTTTGTGTTTCATAAGCCAAATCCAAAGGACAAGGGAGTCAGTTCCCCTTTATTTTTCTTAGAGATGCTGCTCGAGACACCGTTGTACTGCTGCAGCCCCCCCAAATCTGCTTCCCGTTCCTTTCAGGCCTTGCCACGATTTGGAGCGGACCATCATGTGGCATCCCCCCCCACCCTCCCCATAAAGGGCTGTACGCCAATAAGCACCAACTTCTTGTTCTCATTAACCTCCATCCGTTACTTCTCCGTGACTCCAGCTTGTCAGGTGCGAACGGAGCAGCGTAGAAGTCCGTGAGAGGCTCTGAGAGGGCTTTGACTCAGCCCCTTAGCAGTGTGCACCCTCCCTGGAGGCCGCGGGCGGTGTGGGGAAGAGGCCGGTTTTAACAAAGCCGCTCGCGTCGGCAGCAAATGTCTTTTCCAGATTTTGCAAAACGATCTGTGTCTGCTCTCATCCATTCAATGCCCGCTGTCCTCAGCAGCCACTGCATAATGTTCTGTTACTGTTCTCTGTTGATCATGTGTCCACATAACCGTGTGTGTATTACGTGTGTGTCTTTGGCTAGGCCTCTTCCATTATTCTTTTACTTTTCTCCCTCCCCTTTTGGTTCTTTTTTTTTTTCTTTTCTGTTCGTTTTATTTTGTTGATTTTTTTTTCCAGTTGTCGGGAGGGTTTTCCTTTCTTTCTTTCTTTTTGCTCTTATTTTGTCCGTATCGTTTAATTGCAAATATTTTCATTAGAGCTTTTTGACTGATGCTGTGTTTGGTCCTTTATTATTATTATTATTATTATTATTAATTATTATTATTATTTTTGATATATCTTCTTTTCCCCACCTTTCCCTTTTTCCACACTATATATAAATATATATATATATATATAAAAAATCTTTTCTTCTTTTGTCATTCAATCAAATTCCAACAAAACCAACCAAGAGCCAGTCAAATCCACCACAGTCTCGCGCTGAGCTAGGAAAAAAGTTCACGTAATGACATGAAAGTGGAGAATACAGTCCCCCAGTCCGTAAGTTCAAATCAACTCGAAGTTGAAAGTGTGACATGATGGCGTCATGTAACAAGCTAAGAATTGGTTGCATGACATGCCGTCAAGTTTCGTGGAGGTGCCGTGATTGAAGCATTTTTCTTGGATGTTGTATCAGTTGATGATTGGCCAGTCATGATCACATGTGCCTTCTTTGACTTTGTGCTGCCACAATTTTTTGCTGTGCTCATTTTCGTTTCGTTTGGTGCTTGCAGTGGTTTTTTTTTTCTTTATTTGTTGTTTAATTTCTTGTCAGCATTTTATGCTTCTTTAGATGTCACGTAGAAGGAAAAAAAAAAAGATGGATTCCTAATTCTTTAGAAAAAAATGGGATTATTATAACGGTACAAATCATTTACCAAAAAATATATACTGAAAAAAAAAAACCGAGAAAAGAAAATGCGTGGTTGATTTTTTTGCACTTGAAAATCTTGTGATTTTATTTTTTTTCCGGAGAATTGGGGGCCTTTTTCAATTGACACCTTTTTTTCCCCTTAGGCTATTTCAAATCACTCTCCAAAATTAAAAACTGTAAATAAGAGTAAGCATAGTTGGAAAACTATAGCAATCCAAAAGAGCAACCTAGAGAAAAACCTCTTGTGTGCCTTTGCAAGAATTTCTAAATCTGAAGGGTCTGTGTTGCAGCAACTTCTGCCAAATCAATTGGTTGGGGGAGATAGCGGGATTGTATTGAGGGGGACAAAAATAATCCTGATCAAAAAGCAAAATGCATCTTTTTGTTTACAACTGAAAAAGGGTCCTTGACGAGTGTTTTCTTTTCTTTTTTATTCTCTTATTCTTATTATTTTTGGTGTCGTAATTGTTTAGACTGCTGTGTACGGTTTGCTGTTTGTTGAACCAACAGTGTGAAAAACCTGCCAGCATGGATTGATATTCCGCATGACACTTTTCCACCAGAGTGGACCTTTTGCAGTTTCTAAGTTTCTTGATGTAATAAATCACCGAGTGTATAAGAAGAACCTGCTTGCTAGAAAGAGATAAGAGCTAATCCGTAATGATTAAGCATCCTACTTAAATGTCAAGCCTAGTCAGATCATGATTACATTTTTTTTTAAATAACTTTTTTTTTATTTAAGAAATGTTAGCTTTACCTTTCCTTTTTTTTTATTTTGCAAAAAGTTTATTCAGGCTGATTTTTTTTTTCTTTTACCTCCTATAAAATTGCCTGTTCAAAGCGTTACTTCCTGACATTCATAAAGGAACATACATCATTGGCAGCTATTTCTCTACATAAAGTCCATACATCACTGGCAACAGCACCCTGTTAAAACGTAGCACAATTTTTCCTTGATGCCTTACCCACTGCAAAATCCCGTGAAGCGAGATTGTAATCTGGCATTGTAAAAGTGGCACTTAAAAGGAAAAAAAAAGTAGTAAAATGTATATATCTGTACATATACACATACATACATTTACGCTATATAGGTATCTTTATATCTATATATATTTACAGATATATTGTCATTATTATTTATTAAGCAGAAGAAGCAACTGTATTTTTTTCTCTATCATGATCATGACTATCTTGTTCACACTAGGTGCGTCTACACGTGCAGTTAACGTGACGGAATAAACTCTGGTGCAATTTGAGCTGGAGTAAACTAATCCCAACGTCACTGTCTACACAAGTATTTAAGCACAGTAACTTACTCCTCTGTCAGATAGTGCCTGTATCTGATGGGTCTATCCTACACAGGAGTAAATGCATTTACTGTGCCCTAATTGCAGTGCACTTATAGAAGGTGATGCTTTACTGCACAGTAAATTGTTCGACTGCGCAGTAAAGGGCATGTGCAGATGCGACCACTGATTCAGTTCCCAAGGAAGTCCAAGGGAGCCTTTCTCTTGACTTCAGTGGGAGCAAGATCATCCCTGCTACCTGAAAAAAGGAAAACTCAGAGCCCCATCCTGTCCCCATTGAACCTGACAACCAAACATGCATACACAATTCAACAGGAACAGGATCTGGCCATAAAAAAGAACAGGCTTATATTTCTTTTCTATATTTAGGTCTATGTTCTTTTCTTTATCCTCATCCCCGGCCCTTGTATTTGATTTTATTTTGATTTCCCCATTTTGATTTAATTTGCAATGATCTTCTTCATTTTTTTAGGGCAGCTGCTGAATGGGCCACATTTAGAAAATTAAATATATATATATATATATTAAAAAAGCGGGAACTGTTGGATTACACCTTTGACATATCAGCAAATATCAATCAAGCTGAAGACTTCAGACCTATTCTCTCTTTGATTGTTTAGACTGTAACATTTCTTCAAGAAAAGTATCACGTCTGCTGACTTGGAAGGACGCGCGCTTGAAACAAACAAACAAACAAACAAAGTAAATCAGAAAAGGAGCAAGATCAACCAGGATTTCTGAAGAGAGACTGATATCACCACAGCGGCTTTTCTTCAAACAGGAAATGCAAACCTGGATACTGAAAAAGGAGTGCCTGCTTGTCACCAAGGATGCGGCTACCATGTTTGACCCCATGGTAACGGTCACTGAGCATCTTTATCTGTCATTCCTTAGCTATATAGGGACCAAAGGACAAAACTTTTTATCGCAGACTTGTAGCTGTATGTAAAATATGGAAATTCTTTCCTTTTCTCTGAGCTGTTCCTAAAACAGTTTTTGAGAGCAATTATATGAAATATGTAAAAATTAAAAAAAAATGCTTAAATGCTTTTAAAACGGCAAGATAATAGTTCTTTGATACTTTGGGAGGTTCTTTGGTTATACATTAATTAGAGTCTATGAAACTTTCATATGGTTTTCTGTATAATACGTAAGGATCGCACTGGTAAAGGCAGGTAAGATGGATATCTGTGAAAAGCAAAAAAAAAAAAGTAAATAAATAAATACATAAATAAATACATAAAAAGGCATAGAAAAGAGAAAGGAAAGATGGTGGATATTAAAAACAAAACAAAACAAAAAGGGTTTGTAAATGCTTCTAACTCTCCCCATTTAAAAATCCTAATAGTTGTACAGAATTTAAAAAAAAAAAAGAAAAAGTTTAAAATACCTATATAATAGAAAAAAAAATTAGAGAACAAAAAAAAACACAAAAAAGCAAAAAAAAAATAATAATAATAATACATAGAAGTTAGCGTTAATGCTAAAAACAAAGATGTTGTAGAACTGTAATTTTTGTAGAGTTTAGATTGAGCATAAATTCCTACTCTGCCAATTGCTGTTGGATGCTGTTATTTATCGAGGAGAAAGAGGAGAGAAATGGCTATTTTGGCAGCTTTTTTAACTGCAAGCATTCCAGCTATTAAAAACAATAAATGAAACAAAACTCGATTCTTGTAGACAATGCAAATGGGAAAAAAAAACAGCTGTCTTTTTATCAGACGTTAGTTCTAACTTGAACAACAAAACACAGCTAAACGCTTCATGTCTTCATGATCTGCTGTCCGCAAACTCCCATCATCCTATGCTTCAGTAGCTTCCATATTTGCTCTAGAAACTGTCAGGGCAAGGGTTTAGCCTAGAACCTTAATCTTAAAAAATAAAAAAAAATAAAAAAAATAAAAATAAAAAAATAAAACAAAAAAAATCTCTTTGAAGAATTTCTGAAACTGTTTACAAGGAATTTTGAAAAACAGGGGGATGTTTAAAAAAAAAGATGCTGGCTCTGTTTTTCTGTAAATAAATTTGCATATTTTGTAGGACTTTTAATTGTAATGATAGAGAAAAAAACAAGGAAAACTATTTAATGAAAGCACGATATTTATCTTTGGTAAATGACTTTAGAGCAGTTAAAAAAATAAGACATTGCTTTAAAAAAATCTGACTCAGAAAAAAAAACAATGAATTATTTAAGAACATATATTTTAAAGGATATCATATTTCTTCAGATTTATTTTCACGGTCTTAAGACTTGATTTGCCTCATCTCACTTGTTTTTAGTTGAATGAAGAAGAGTGTGGTGGCTGTTTCCGATTCTTGATTTGATCTCGCTTGGGTTTTAGGTGTGTTTCTTTGCTTTTATTTTATTTTTATCTTTTTAATTTCCTGACTGACATTTTATCCTAATCCTGGATGCCTTCTTTTTTTTTTTGTTTGGGTTTTTTTGTGGTTTTTTTATTCATTCTGTATTATTTTTTACTCCCCAGAGGGCCTGGCCTTCCCGCCCACGCTCTGGCGAAGCACCCACTGGGTTTCTGTGGGTGTTTCACTTGAGTAAGGACAGCAGGACTGAGCCCACAGCTAGGAAGTACAGATGTGTAATGCAGCTGCAGTTCCATATAACTGCTCTTTCACTCTCAATTCCCTAAAACTCCTTGTAATCTTCTGTAATTATTGAATGACGCTTTCCAGCTTAGCCCTAAATAAAGCACAGTTTAAAAAAAAATGCCATGTTCTTTACTTCTTGATGGCTTTTCCTTAATGTGTTTGCTTTGAGAACAAAATGAATCTATTTCGACTCTTTCATTAATATACATTGTTTGAGTATCATAACAAATCCCTTTGTTATATAAAACATATCTCATTGGATTGAATTAATGACACTGTTTCATTTAATGTCTGCTTGATATTCCGCTGTGGTTTACCTTAAACCTAGTAGGTTAGAAGATCAAATAATGGTACATACAAATTAGAGTCGTTGCAGCTCCTATTTGAAGCCTGTTGCTTGATTTCATGCTCATGGTTTTTTCATGCTGATAGGGGAGAGGCCAAAGCTCAGGACATTGCTCCTTTATCTGCCTGGAGACAATTTGGCACCATTCACTAGCTGCTGCTGTGGGGTGGGGGTGCTTAATTCTTTTCCTGAGCAGCCTTTGTATCTCTTCTCCTGAATGGTCCTTATATGCCGGTGACAGAACTGCTGCACCGATCACAGGTCTGGGAGTCAGGAGACCTTAAACAGACTAGACAAAGTTAAACCCCAGTAGCTCCAGCTATAAATGGGACCCACAACTCTCTCATGCCTGGGGCCGATAGGTGTAAATGAGAAGTATCACTTTTCAGCCTCGTGGAGGCTCCGATCAGGTGCATCTACACATGCGCTTTAATGTGCACTAGCCTATTTTAATGCACATTAAAGCATCACAAAAAAACCACGCTCTTTAGCTAATGCACATTAAAAAAGGTTAATGCATATTTCTCTAGTACTTCACAATGGAGGCACTAGACTTAATGCGCATTACCTAAAGCACATGAATTGAATGTGTAGACATGCTCAAGTTTTGTTACTAATGGCTAGTCCTGGGTCCATTAGGGGCAAGAGAAAGATGACATGTGAATGCGAAGAGATGTAGAAGCAGGGAACCATTGTTTTCTTCTCTGCCTTCTGGCACCAAAATCATCCTGTGGAGGAGGGGGTGTATGATAGACTGCAAAGTCTTTCACCTCCCTGATCCCTGCTTCAAATCTAATGCAGGAGAAACTGGGTCAGTGGGACTCAGTGTCCCATAAGCAGCTGTTCACTTTGTGCAAACCCATCCACACATCTTGCAGGCGCACATCTGGCAAACCCATCCGCACATCTTGCGGGCCCACATCTGGCAAACCCATCCACACATCTGGTTGGAGAACAGATTCAGTAGCGAGAGAAGATCTCTCTTTTCCACCTGGTGATCCAGTGAAAGGCTGGAGCTATCTCCCAGACACCTCTCAGAGGCTTCAGCAAGGGGACATCCATCCTTGCATCCCATGTGGTCCTTTTATATCACTGGCCAACCAGCAACTTCTCCCCCTTCCTACACTAAGGGTTACCGGTGGGTGGGTGTCTCCACTCCTGCCCAGCCATGCAAAACCAGGTGACAGGAGAGCCCCCCCCCTCCCCCCCAATTCCATAACCAGCTACCAGCCACCTCAGTCCCCCTCAAATAATAACCACACCAAGAAATGTAAAACACCACCTTCCCAGCCCCAGAAAAGGCCTTTTCCAAAATGCTGTTAACAGGGGAAGCTGAGGATGCTATAGCTCAGCTGGTGACATGGACACACCAGCGGTGGCATTGGAAGACAGTTGCCTTTTCCATTTCTTTTTCACTAGCTCTTTTTTCCCCCCGTATTTTATGGATCACTTCTGCCCTGACGCTATCCCTCACATTTCCTTGGCTGGTTACAAACGCCACCTCACTGCCTCTCCCACAGGGCGTCTTGTTTGTGTGGCCATTGCTGTTGCTTTGGGACTGTATGATCTAACTGAGCCACAGCAAGAGCAACAGCATCAACCAAGCAGCATGGTCCCTATTTCAGGAGCTCCAAACCAACCACAAGAACTGGTCTTGGTGGCAAAGAGAGGCACGCCCTTCTTCACTGGTGTATGGGCATGCAGTGAAAACACGATGGCCTGTCTCAAGTGGACAGTCACGAGCCACTGGTGATGGTGCACTTCAGACGACACCCAGGATGCGTAAGGAAGTCTCTGCAGAGACTGCCCCGAAACGGAGACCACATTTCTTGAATGTTGCCCAAAGCCACTCAATGTGCTAGGCCACATGGGCACTCCTGAAGGCACCTGACAACCCGAGGGATGCACCTGGGACAAAACGATGCTAATGCATTCACATATGGGATAACCAGGGCGGATGGGCTGCTTCAGGGCAGTCAAGGAACTGGGCCAGGAGGACAACCAAAGAGGCTGTCAATTAACTGGGGGTGGAAAGTTTCCTCTTGCACAGAAGACTTAGGTGGGTCCATTCTTCCCCTGTCATTCAGGAGGACACGGCCCCTCTCAGACAGATTGCACAGAGCATGCAAAGACACCTGAGCTAGTTTGAAATGGGCTGGCTCAGGAACAGGAGGAAGTCTAGCTGTGGCCACTGATACCCATGCCAGCTAGACGAACACTATCTTGAGTATGTCTGTAGTAACTCCTGTGATGGTAGCACAGATGTGGCCTCAAAGGAGAAGGATGGGAGCAGAAGCACACACGTGCATTTATGTTTGCTCAATCATTTGTCTCTAGGCTTTCTAAACCATAGCGAGCCTGGAGACGTGGGGCTGGACAGGCCTTCCAGAGGTCGCCACCTACTACCAACCCCCTGTCAGATGCAGGATCATCCCTTTCCAACCCATCCTATACAAATGCAATGTCTAACCTAGTAGCAAAACTACACTGACACCACTGCAAGACATTATGCCCTAACCCGCTACAGGTAAAGCAGGGGAACAACTAAATGCATTGAAACTAAACTAAAAATAGCTGGGGGGTTTTAAAGAAAGAATTGCTCGTTTCCTGGCGAGTGCACAGAGTTGCTCATCTTTAAAGGTCCCCAAACCTTTCAGGCATCTTTCTACCCATTCCTCTAAATTGAAAGGCGTCTGTGCAGTTAAGCCAATGTAATCTGGTCCCCATCATCTCAGACCGTGAGAAACAGGGGATTCTGCTCCGGGGAAGGTGAGTTGTAAAAAGCCCGTCTGATGCACGCAGCTGGAGTGAACCGAGAGAGCAGATGGGACGATGGAGGCACAGGCGGCCTGGAAGGAAGCAGCAAACGTTCCTGCTGCTCCAGCAGCCACGGGGTACGAGCTAGCAGAAAGGATGCAACGCGGTGGAGCGCAGACTGCTCACACGGCGCGAGCTCCTTCTCCGTTTTGCAGCAGCTAGCCCAAGTTCAGAGAAACTAAGCATGCACGACATGGCTTTCCTAACACTACACTCCTGTGTTACTCGGGGCTGCTGGGGCCACCGGGGTGTTGTGCATAGGAAAGAGGTATCCGCACAAAGGAGGTTTCTTCTCCGTGAAGGAGATGCCCCGTGCTGTCTCCTGAGTCCCTCTGCGGTGTTGCGTCGCCTCACTGCAGCCCGCGCAGACCGATCCCAGACCTGGGACTCGGGGAAGATGCACCACGTGCCATCAGGATGCTACTGGCACAAACAAGGTGAGGACCCTGTTTTAGGCCTCCCACCAGCTCAGTGCCCCCTGCCACCACCCAGGGATGCTGGCGCAAGGGCTGTGCTGCAATGGCTGCAATGACTCCACTATTCACATCGCTGCCCCGAAGGTTTCTCACCCCAGGCCTCTCATGCCAAGTTGCAGCCTCTCCCATCCATTTGCAGCCATGGGATGCATAGAAACACAGGGCTGGAAGGGACCAACCCTCTGCTCAAGACAGGCTCATCCCTAAACCATCCCAGACAAGTATTTGGCTAAGCTGCTCTCCACCACGTCAGGATCAAGCCTGGCAGGCACGATGCCCAAAACTGCAAAAAAAATACCCTTTACCTTGCCATGACAGGGGGACGAGGGCCCTGTCTGTGTCCTGCCAAGGTCACAGTCTTTGGCACGACGTGGAGACAGCTTTTGAAAGTGCTTTATTTTGCTACCTGCCAGAGGGCAATGCAAGTAAAAGCAAGTCCTCATCTAGGTGCAGCTCCCATAAATCCCTCCTGCTAGTTGCCAACAGAAAGTGCTTGCAAACAAAGAAATTCACTACTAGTAGAAAGCCTGCGTTGGGGTTTTTAAAGGGTTCCTCAGGACCTCCCTTTGACATTTTAGTGGCCGTGGACATTCACAAAGCCTCCATTCAGCAGCCATGTAGTCCAACTCCCTATCTCCCATGGGTAAAGTCCCCACAGCTCCTAAATTGCTGCCCCTGGGCACACACGCAACCACACAGGTCCTCACTGCACTGAGCACATCCCTAGCAAACCCCAGGAAGAGTCACAAACCAGACGTTTCCCTGGCTCCCTCCCTCATACCCAATCTTGCAGGGCTATCCTGAGCAGGCCTCCCTCTCTTATGGAAATGGTGATGAGAAGGAGCTGCACCAGCACTAAACCCATGGTTAGGGCACTCACCTGGGCTCTCAAGGTTCAAATTTCTGCACCCAG